CAAATGCAGCCGGATTGCCCAGACACGAATCAAGGAACAGGAAAGGCACTGTAAATGACTTCAGCCAGAGAAGTCAGCCATAGCAGAGCACCTGATGAGCCAACCTGGACACAGCAGATTATTTGAGAAGACAGAAATGCTAGACCACTCTCACAACCACCATGTCAGTCTATTATTTATTTATTTATTTTATTTATTTAATACACTTGTATACCGCTAATATCTCAGCCTAAATCGGCGACTCATTGCGGTTTACAGCAATTAAAAGCAATGTACAATTTAAAACAACAACACGTAAACAATACAAATTATTGGGCCACCAATAATAATACCATGCTTCTCGTCACAAAAATCACAGTCCAGAGTTCGTCATCCATAGTTAACCAGTCCTTAGTCTATAAATTCAATAGTAACAAACTAATTGAATGCTTGTTTACACAACCATGTTTTTAATCTCTTCCGAAAGACCATCAGCGAAGAGGCTGATCGTATCTCTATAGGGAGGGTGTTCCAAAGCCGAGGGGCCACCACAGAGAAGGCCCTGTCTCTCGTTCCCGCCAGCCGCACTTGGGAAGCCGGTGGGATAGAGAGCAGGGACTCTCCAGAAGACCTTAGGGTCCTGGTGGGCTGATAGGCTGAGATACGTTCGGATAGATAAGTTGGGCCAGAACCGTTTAGGGCTTTAAAGGCCAAAACCAGCACTTTGAATTGAGCCCGGTAGCATATCGGCAGCCAGTGGAGCTGGTGCAGCAGAGGAGTTGTGTGCTCCCTGCGCCCCGCTCCTGTTAGTACCATGGCTGCCGCCCGTTGGACTAGTTGGAGCTTCCGGACTGTCTTCAAAGGCAACCCCACGTAGAGAGCGTTGCAGTAATCAAGGCGGGATGTCTACACAGAGAAGCCATTGAAATCCACAAGAAGCAGGTGGACAATTTCATCAGAAAGGAGGAAACCATGAAAATGAACATAATCTGGCTAAAGGTAAAGGTAAAGGTTGTCCCCTGACATTAAGTCCAGTCATGTCTGGCTCTGGGGGTTGGTGCTCATCTCCATTTCTAAGCCAAAGAGCCGGTGTTGTCCGTAGACACCTCC